TCTTGGGTTCAATTATAGACCAAGAAAAAATCCATTTAGGCTTGGAACAAATTGTCTGTAGATTATATTTGATTATTAATCAATTTATTCCTTACGTATTCTAATGCATTTTCTGGTGATAAGCCTTTTAACTCCTTATTTTGAAACCTATGATAACATGTTAATGGTCAGGATGAATTCTGGTGTCCCATTGCATGATAACGCTTCTTCTTTTTCTTTTTCTTTTTTTTAATGACCATCAGCCCGGCGCCGGTTCCATTTTACAAGCGCTCTTTAAATCACTGTAACTCCATTACTGTTTCTGCTAGAGACAAAATCCAAATGGTTTCGCAAAGAAGAGAAGATCAGCTTTAAAGGGACATTCTGCGTTTCACTGTAGCACAAAGGCTTCACAAGGCACTGCTGACTGAACTCAGAAAACAAAAAATCAGCTCCGCCTAGATGTTACCATGTGCGCTTCACATTACCATAACTCCTCAACCATTTTCGGGTAGAGAGAACATTCAAATAGTTCCTGAAAGATGAGAATTATTTTGCAATTTTAACTGCCAAAGTTACAAAGTAATTCCTGGCAGCCTGCAAGATACTTGGGTGATAAAGGTACAAAGTGCCTATCTGAAGGTCATGTACCACAGTACACTGCCAGATGTACTTTAGTATGAATATCCTTTTGCCAGCCACTTTATTGAGTACACTTGTTCAAATGCTTGTTAATGGAAACATCTAAAAAATCATATGGCAGCAACTTGGCATATAGACATGGTCAAGACAACCTGCTGAAGCTCAGACTGAGCATCGGAATTGGTTGGCATGGTTGTTGGTGCCAGATGGGCTGATCTGAGCACATCAGAAACTGCTGATATACTGGGATTTTCCCACACAACCATTTCGATGGTTTACATGAAATGGTCCAAAAAGGGAAAATATCCAGTGAGCAGTAGTTCTCATGGCAAAAAAGCTTCATTGAGGCCAGAGGTCAAGGGAAAATGGGCAGACTGTTTTGAACTGATAGGTAACAACCAAAGTATGCATAAGAGTATCTCTGTATGCTCAACATGTTGAACCTTGAAGCGTTGGGGCTACAGCAGCAGAAGAGCACATCGGGTGACAACAGGAAACTGAGACTATAGTTTGTACGGGTTTATCAAAACCGGGCAATAGAATGTTAGCCGGTCTGATGAGTATGCACTTCTATGTGACACTCGGATGGGAGATTCAGAAACTGACATAAACAACATAAAAGCGTAGATCCGTCCTGCCTTGTATGTGTACCTTTAGGGCCCCTAGGAACAACTGAGGTTTGCTTAAATGCCACAGCATGATTGAGTATAATTGTTGATGATGTTCAATCCTTTATGACAACAGTGTACCAGCAGGATAACATGCCATGGTACAAAGCTCAAATCATATCAACTTTCTATTTTTGAACATGACATTGAGTTCTTGTAGTCCAATGTCCTCATCATTCATCAAATCTCAATCCAGTACAGCACTTTTGGGATGTGCTGGAGCCGAGGATGAATGTACAGCTGACACATTCACAGCAGCTCCACGATGCTGTTGTGTAAAAATGGAAATCTGAAAGGAATGTTTCCAGGACCTTGTTGAACCCATGCCACAAAGACTTGAGGCAGTTCTAGAGTATACTTAATATTTACATAAAAACAAAGTTTGGATTTACACAGTTTGATTTATACGCACTCATATGTACCACAGCACTATACCATGAGTTATAGTGCATATTATAATGATTGCACGCTAAAACGTGGCTGGATGCAGCACCAGCAGACAGCATCATAACACAGCTACTGATGCTTCACATTGGGGCATGAGCAGTGAATCACCTCTGGACTGAGCCCTGTGAAGTGACTAAAGATCTGCCAATACAGGGAGGATCGAGGCTAGGACAAAGAAGACGCAACTCTGTGGCTACCACACAGCTGGATCTGATCAATACCTTGTTGGGAGGTTGTAAAGGACGTAATGAGGTAGTGCATAAGCTGTCAGTCAGTATGTTTTTGTTAGGTTCTTATGAGGGTCTGATGTGAGTAAGCACCTAATAACTAGGCAGGCTGGTTGAATGTAGAGCACCTTTGACATCTTCTAACATCTGGCTGTCTTCCAGTAATCTCTTTTCATTTTTCCCACCTCATTGAGAACTAGGCAAGCAATGCTATCGCTGGACCATTTACTGAGTATGATCCAACATCTGTCTTGCTCATGTCTCTTGTTTTGGCATTAAACCCCCCCCTCCCTCCTTCCCTTGTCTCGTCTCCGTCTTTCACCCCCTCTGGTAGCCGTCACAGCCGCTGAACGATTTCCTCTCACTGGGAGGCTCCTCCGAGTCACTGTGGCAGTGTCAGATGAGGCTCCTATTTAAGCTCATTAAATGTTTCCAAGAGAATAGGAAATCAATGGTGCATGCCGTTGCGCGAGAACTTTTCTCTTAATTTAATTTCCCCTCCCCCTTATCTGTTTGCACATCTCTCTCTCCTTCTTTTTCTCCTATCATTCACGCTTGTTCTTTCCAACTTGTCGTTCTCCTTTAAGCCGTGGATGTGGAGGTGGGCGAGGTGGGGAGGAGGGAAGGCAGAAACGGTTGCCTTCAGAAACTATTTCGGACTTGTATCTGTGACAGGCACCGTGGTGTGAAGCTGTCCAGACTTTTCAGTGTTGTTTAGCGCGCTCGCCGCACAAAGCACAATCAGCCGGAAGGTTTTGCGCACAGTGACCCGACCTGGGGTTTTTAAGCTTTGCTTTCAGGCCGTGCTGTTAAGGGAACAGGTTGCAACCAACCAGAGCAGAATGTTGCATTGAAAACATGTGGCGCGGTGACGTGTGGCTCGAGATGACCCCCGCCCCTCCCGGTTTAAAAATCCTCCCACCTCACGCTTGCCTCCCTCCTATTTTGAGTTTTATTCGTCATCTCATCTATTTTGTCCATCTGTTTAGTTTGCTTGTAACAAGTTTTTCTTCAATTTAGGCAGGCAAATTAATGTGTGTGTGCACGCTTGTAAATCCTTGTGAGTACATGTCTGGCAGGGCTTTGTGCTGTTTGAAACTATGCCTGCGGGCTGGGCCCACACCTTCTCTGGATCTCCTGTAATTGCTCTTTTGGGGCCTTGTCTCTGGCTCTGAGCCCGTCTCCATCACTCTCTCTCTCTTTCTCCCTTGCTCTTTGGCCTTCGTCCTTTTTTTTTCTTTTTTTTTTTTTTGCCCTCAGTTCCACTTTTCTCCCCCTGCATGGCTCATTATGGCTGATCCCCACCTGCCCAATCTGGGAATTGTCTGTCTGCCTGCACGCACAACACACACAAACACACACACAACCACACAGCAACTCAGCAGTTTTTAGAGCTGCCTGTCGCTTCGTTGGTTTGTGTACTATCTGCTATAAAACAGCTTTGCTAATACTGTTTGGCCAAGAAGTGGAAACAATAGTGCTGTCACATTTTTTTCTCCTCTTCTCTTGGTGAAAACAGACAGTTTCTCGTCCTTGCTGTGGCTGTCAGAGTACCATTTTTCATAAAGCCCTGGCCCTTCAACCTTAGCGTCTGCTTTTGTATACCGTAGCCTCAACCACATGCTCCTAACCACAGGCCTCCTCCATTTCCATTTCAGCCCTCCCTTCAGCCTGTCACCCAGCAGCCCCTTCATGCCTGTTCCCAGGCTAGGGGGCTTACTTTGAAGGATAATGGATGTGGCCAGTTGCAGCTGCTCAGCAGCAGGGCACTATCATAGGAGTTATCTAAGGGCCTGAGAGTGGTTGGTGATGAATGGCTGGGAGCTCTGTGTCTCCAACAATCAATAAGCCACTAGCACCCAGATGAGCTAGATGCCCCTTCACTCTCCGCTTCCCCCTCTATCTACGCATATATCTCCTGCTCGTAATCTCCCACTATGTTTTGTGAACTTTTCCCTCCAATTCATGGCTTGAATTGGGCCATTGATCTTTTATCCTTGGCTTGTTTTAAATAAAGGGCCAGTATCTTCTCTCCACCCAAGCATGCAAGCTCTCCGACAGCAGTTATTGCTACACAAGCGGCAAAGCTCACAAACATTACTTTAGACTGATCGAAGGCCCGTAATCTGAGAGGGAAAACAGAGAAAATGAAGGGGAGCTTGTATGAAGCTGCTGTCCCGCCCCCACCCAATCTGTAGCACTGCTGTGGTTTTCATTGCAAGGCTGATGCAAACAGAGGTCCCATGTGGATGTACACATTTGTAATGCAGGCAAACACAAACACACCCGCATACACCAAACAGTCTTTCTGTCAGGGCTCATTGAGCACAACCTGTCCCAAAGCACCTCAGAAAGCCTCATCCACCCTCTCTGAATTGTCTCAGTGTTGTGCGCACACTTATGCGATGCCTCTGCAGACAACCAAAGTGTGTAAATTTTTATTTCCACTGCAGACCAACAGGTGTGTCATAGTTACTGTCTGTGTTAGTTTTTGATCTTCTTTTTTCCCCCCACATTGCCGGTGAGAGATTTCCAATGAAAAGAGACAACTGGAAATCTCTCTTTCTCTTTGTCTTTCTTTTTTCTCACCTCCGGGTAGTCTGTCTGTATCCTCTTTCTTCTTCTAACACTACGCTCTCCTTCTCTCCTCTTATTTGTTGTTGTCTCTGTCACAAAGAGCAGATTCTCAACTTGGTAATTGCATGTCTGTTCGCCACCACACCTGTTGCTGTCAAGTCAGTAGTGTGGGAAAGAGGGGGAGAGCTGCACCCTCTGGCCTCTATAGCCCTGACTCTCTACCCCACCATCACCACCTTTGTTGCAGGTGTAAGCCCACAGGGACACGGGAGTGTGATTCGGCCAATGTGTACACGTGTGGTATGGTGTGCTCTGATTGTGTTTATCTGTAACCTTGAGCGTCACCTCTAGGTGTGCGTGTTTGTGCAAATGCATGTGTGTATCTCCTCAAACCTGGCCCCTGCTGACAGTTTACTCTCTCACCTGCTAATCCTCTTCACCTCCTCTCCTCTCTCCCTTTATCCAGAGCCCAGGCCCTTAATGAAGCTGGGGGTCAGCGGTGGCGTGCGGCTAATTGGCCAAGTTTGCCCGGGGCTCCGGCAGCCTGTGATTGAAGTGTCCAGCAAGCACCGACTGTGCAGTCACTGCTGCACCCTACTCTGTTTCGCTTCAACAGTCAAGACAGTCGTTGCACCCCTGTCGGCCTCTCCCTAGTGAGTAGCACCCGAGGTCATTTTATTTTCTCACTGCACAATACTCCTTTCCAGTCTCCTACGGTCTTGTGCTAATTTTGTGCAAAGAAGATTTCTTTACCTATTTTATGGATCACCAGGTCTGCAATGTTAGAACTTCTACTGTGGAATGTTTAGATAAAGATTGAAGTTTCTGTCTCTGTGTCCTATGCCTCTGTATTTTTTAAAAAGATTATTATTATTATTACTAGACTTTCATTCCCACACTTTATCCCAGCATTTTCTTGGCTTGCGTGACCCTCACACTCTGTCCTCATTTGCCACAGTGGGATTTAGGCAATTACCACGGTCCCCCATTGGCTAGCAGAAAAAAGAAAAAAGAAAAAACAATCCTCCAGGCCCAGCTCTGGCCAAGCTTTAGCTCAGTGTTCTGAGTGAACAGGAGGGGATGAAGTAATGGAATGGAGGTATTTCTAATTAGTTGAACCTCCTACTTCTCTTCGTTAAGGCCTTCCTGACTCCCGGTTGTTTGGCTGTCAATAGCAGAGGTAGAATAGCAGAGGTAGGAAGTGGTAGTGAGGTCAATGGTAAAGTCTGAGCAGACAGGAGGTACAGGACACAGAGAAGGCACTAAGGCAACGACTCTGCTACCCAGCAGGCAATTGTCCATCTCACCTGGGAGATATGCAGGCAGTGCTTAGCCGCAGTACACCATTGAAAACATCTTTTCTTTCTTGTCGTGCTTATAGAAGCGGAACATTGCTGACGAGTAAATGGTTTGTGTCAGGAAACAATGGTCCAATTATAAGTCAAGTCTTAGCCTACTAGTTGGGAGAAGTTCTAGTCTGTCAAATCTTTATTTGCACACCAGTAGGTTTCCATTCTTGTTTATTAAAGAACGCAAGTGATTAGATCTGCTCCGAGGCTTCATTAAATGAAGCTCCCCAGTAATTATCTACACTCACAATAGTTTTGTGTAGACAGCTGGAAAAACTAAATGTTTTCACATTTAATTTAAGCACAGAAAAAGGACCGTTGTTACCACTCGTCTGATGACGTGAATGAAAGGGTGAGCAATATGAACATGTGATCTCGTGAGGCATATTTCATCACTTCTTCTGAAACCGTTCCTGGATTTACTTTAAATCCCAAAGCTGCCACCAAGCCTCAGGACTTGCAGGTTTCTTAGGGTGTTACACTTGTCCATCTGTGGAGTGCTTAACGTGACAGATGACTCCATTTCTCACTCATCTTCTCCCTAATCAGCTGTTTTTTTTCTTCTTCTTAGGTCATAATTCTTGTGCTCCACTTTCCCTTGCAGCATGCCTGCCAGCCTACCCGCTGGTGTTAAAGATAAACAAAATATGGCTCATTTGAAATATAGGCTACACCAGGTGGTTGTTTGGCCTATGCTGAATGATTAGAAGTTTGGTGGAGCTATGGCTTTCATCAAAGTGCTACAGTTGCGACTCCAAATAGATCACATTAAACAGGCACACTTTTCTGTTTTTTAATTTTTCTTTGCTGTTTTTCATTTTGATCCTTTGTTGTTGACTCAGTTTGTCTCACATCCCAAAAGATGGTGTGAATGTTATGGTAATGACATGCTTTTTGGTATCCATAAGGATTAGGAGGTGCCAGTCATTTCTCCCATGAGGCTTTGCCTTGTCACAACCCTGGAGCAAAGACATACTTGGGAGATGAATGAATTAGGATGCACTTGAAAAATCTCTCTTTTTTTTTGTTGTCTTTTGCAATGTTGTGGGTGGGTCCCTTAGTTTTTTTTTTCTTTCCCCCTTGTGTGTCACTGCCCCCCCCCCCCCTTTTTTCCCTTCTGCATTAAATTTTGATACTTTGAACGTTACTAAAGTAGTTTTGCACTCTTAGTTTTGCATGCTTGACTTGCTCCTTGTTTACTGTGTAAAATGTGCTATTTTTGAAGTATAATAGCAAAAATAAGTAAACAAGACCATTTAACTTGTATTTCAAAGAGGAGGCTCATAGAAGATATTGTTTTCTAAAAAGGCTCCACGCTTGTTTAGAATATTGCTGATGGCGATACCCAAGCCGTGGCACTTTTGAAGTTGGTTCAGGTTAATCAAGTGAGGAGAAAGCTGTCCGACATCAAAAGTCCTTTCTATGATACTCAAAATGACTCTGAGTTTAAGTATGAATCCCCAGAAATGAGAGTGAATAATTCATTTGTCATGCTAAATCAAAGTGATGATCCTAACTTTAAGGCCTGTGATCTGTTGAAATTGTCACAGTGGTTTGTCAGATGACAATGTTTCATGTAATCTGAAGCCAACTGCTATGATTAGGTCATAGCAGGGTAAAAATCTTCAGGCCTATGCGGTCAGCACAGAGCAGGTCGAGCCTTTAGAAAATTTTCATTACCAAAAAAAAAGTCACAGCATTGCAGGTGTATACTAACGTCTTTTAAGGCTGTGCAAAAATGGTTTAAAAAGCCTGCTAACGTGCTCCAGGCATCACCAGAAGCCAACATACCCCCTCATCACCAACCTAAGTTGGGTTTTCTCTACGGAAAATGGCGAATGTCGTGTCCTTGTGGTACAAAAATAATATAAAATACCTTCTCCCTGACTCATCACTCCTGCCCCTCCTCCTGCAAGTTCGCCCCAACTCCAACATGGTACTGCAGCCCTCCATTTCCACTGCCTCCTGTGAATATCCAAGCTGTCGAGGCTGACTGGGCTGAGCGTTTTCTTGCCAGGGCACAGTTGGACCAGATCCGGCCTCCGGGCCACATATACCGCACCACTCCAGCCCCTGCAAACAAGGCCTGCCCTGTGCAGCTGTCATCTAAATGCTAAGCGCTTTGGATCGCCACGGCCGATTCCTTTTGTACATACTTACTTGTTTTTTTTGTTCGGTTTCTTTGCGACTACTTGCTCTCTTGGAACACGATAGCTTTACATTCTTTACAGCTTGCTGACTATGAACTTCTATTTGTGTTCGTTTTGTGAAAAATACTGAATTTCAACAAGAGTGGGAGTATTTTTCTTTTTTAATAACAAAGGTATATAGTTGCAGAAATCTGTATAGATGCTGCAGATGCTCTTTGTCTATTTTAAGGATTGTGAGCTTTTACTCAAAGGCAGGTTTTTAAGCAACAGACTGTTATCTTTCAGATGATTGTATATGACCTAATCATTGCATCTGTATCCTCTGGAGGATTACAAAATGTGGTTGTCAGGCTTTATATATGTATTGTGAACCAAGCCCATTTTAAGGGGAGGCAAGTTGAGAGACAGATTCCAGATGAGCCTCTCAAACAGTTTCATGTCAAATCCACAGACATACAAATCTCCACAATGATCTGCCAAGTTTCTGCTGAATTCACTGGAGCAGGAATAGCAGAATTTCACACCCCAGCACTGAGCCCCCGCTCCCCTCCTCTCAGCCATCACTGGGCGCTGCTTGGCAGCAGAGGATGATGGGAAACATCTGTGAAATTTGCTGTGTGTGTGTGGATGGTTGAATACACTCACCAGATAAAGAATTTTGTTTTTATGTTGGGTTTTTTTCTTTTTTTGAGACATCTTTTGTGTAACATCAGGTGAGCACATTCTTTTTTTTATTAAACAAACCTCACGGTGGAATAAATGTAGATGCAACAGGCAAACTGTTTCAGTAGTTAAATTGCTCAAGGGATAATCTTTTCGAATTGTTCAGATAAGCGAGCAGCAGCAAGTGAGGAAAAGAAGAGGCGGTTATGCACTTCCTTCGCAGCTAAATTACTTCCGGTGGATGACAAAAAGGAAGGAAAGGCAGCCCCCTATTGGCTTCATTTTCTATTTTTACACAGCTTTCAATACTAACGATGCTGCGTTTGCACGCTGACTAGTATATTATCTAGAAAAAAAGAAAGAAAGAAAGAAGAAAAAAAAAACTCTGAGAGAATGATTCAGCTGATCCTCTGGATGCTCCTCTGCAGCTGCCAGCGATGTGACTGCTCAGAGTCACTGAAGTCTCTTTTATTTGGGTGTGCTGTGCTATATAAATAATGAAATGGAGCCCGTAATTGGTGGTTCTTGGTAATTAGGACCAAGCTGTCAGCTAGCGAAGTTGCCTCAGTCTGATGGCGCTGTAGCTAGGGCAGTAATTACTATTATCTTTGGGGACTGTTGACACAACAGTAATCCCATTCTCGTTGTAAGGATAGTGGGGCCTATGTTTTCTGTCCCTATTTTAAGAGGTCTGTCTGTAATAATACCACAGACTCAAATTTTCAGGTATCTGCATTAATGCTTGTCAACACCAAACCATCGGTGCTAATGGAGAGGAAGACCTCTCTCCTTAAGTTTGCTGTTTGGTGACTATGTGTGAAGAGCTTGTCCATATTTTCATTAGTCAAACAGTTTGACTTTTCCCTTCGAGCGGTGTGACGCCCAACCATAAACAGCATTATCAACCATCTCAGCAGGTTTTCTAATACCCCTGTAATCCTGTCATTTCATTCATGGATACCGCTGGGGTTATACCAGGCTTGGAACGTATCTGCCCGCCTGTCTCTGCTCCTCTGTGTGAGAGATTGGATTCCCCAACTCCCTCTCCTGCTTCGTCTTGCCACACACAAACACACATGTTCGTGCCCCAATGTTCACTCATCTCTTGTCATATCCTCACAGTGTAAATGGGCTGGTCAGACACGATGAGATGTATAGGGTACAGGGCGATGGCAACAACGTGCCCTGTGTGTAGGTTTTTTTTCCTAGTAGCAGATAATAACTTGCCCTTGCTAAAGTGAAGTTCTGTTCATCTGACTCGAGGCTTACAAGCACAGCATGTACTACATGAGATGAAGAAAGTGAATGTCTTAAAAAAGGGGGGGGTGCCCAGGTGACATTTCCTTTTCCCTGCTGTGTTGTAAACTAATGAACCTGCTGGAGACTTACATTGACTATATGCAAGAAAGGGTGGAGTGTGATTATTGCGTGAGTGGAAAAAAAGAGCAGTGAGGGTGAGCAAAGGGCAGAGGAGCTGCTGTTTCCACGTAT